GATCCCCCGTCTATAACTCAGCAAACCAAATTTTTGGGGCGGAAAATCGAAGTATCCGTGTAGTTCAAACAGGTTCCAAATGGAAACCGCGCCGGGTAATCGGATGAATTAATTTGGGATGAAGGCAGTTTGCGTGACAAAACTTTCCTTAGAAAGTCAGCCTTGAAAGTTTGTTAGAGTCGACTAGATTCAACTCACAGAATTGGTCGATCAGTAAATGCTCCCAAGCGCAGCATGCAGACTGGCCGTGTCTGCGTTTCATGTGGCACGTATCGACCTCTAACAAAACTGGGTAATGTCTGTGAAATGATCTTCATTACATTAAGACCAGTTTACTTGTAGTGATGCCATAAACCGTCCTGGGATTTCCAATGCACGTATGAAGCTGGTTGAAGATAATGCAAGCGAAATTATTGCTTTTGTTATTTGACTACGGTAATATCGCTAAAGAATAAGTAGATACGAAGTAGATACGAGAAAGCCATCGGTGCTGATACACGTGACCGTGGGCAAATATTAAAGTGTATTTGAGGAGCAAACGCCCAAAAGTAATCCAAAAATACTCTCCATCACTAGATGCCAAACTTCAGTGACTACATCTGAGTCACTGCCAGCAAAAGGTGCGCTAACGTCAACTGAAAAAAACTTGTCTCCCGATCAACCCTCCAGTATCGTGTATGGCGTTCCTTGTCACTAGATCAAAAATTTCGTTGCCGTAGTTGTAAGAGCGGCCTGTGTAGACCTGAACCCCAAGTCGAAATTCTATCCTCAGAGCCAAGCACAGACCAGTTGAAGTTGCCCTAAGCAATTTATCAGTCATCAGTGTCCACCGGATGAAGCGATACAGCGAGGAGTCCACTAAAAGCAAAATTGGGTGGTGTGTTCGTTTTTGACTGTGGGATGGTAAAGGACTGTATTGGGGCAAACCACTTGGCTACTAACCTACACATGAGTCCCAGTTTCATTCTCAGTGAACAATTGGCCTGAGTGTTTAAGCGGCTTCCGTTCATGTTAAGCACCATATGTTTTTCGATGGGACACTTCAGCACTATTCAGTTTCCCAGAGTGGCGACTGGAAGAAACTCTACTCGAGCTCAATGACGCAGCATTTGGATGAAGCCGTCCGTTTCATAGACAACAAGAATGATTTCCTCGTCCGATACCGGGTGTTTCTGAGCTCGTCATGAACTTAGATTGCTATGGACTGCAGAAACTATCAGAATTCATCTAAGTAGTACAGAGGTCTACGTACAAAAACTTGTGCTGGCCTGTTCCGTTCCCATGACAAAGTTCGTCATTCAGTTTACTCCGCTAGCCAATAACCTGTGTATGCTCTCTATCCCCCTGTTGAGTTTGCGATCATGAATGGGATTCATTTCTAGCTTTGTGATGTAGCAGTCAAGATGAACAACCACTTGAAACAATATTAGTTCTCTAGCTTCATGCTTTTCAAGATATCCACGATGATCTTCAGTCCCCATAAGTGACTGTCTCTAGTCCTGAGCCACCTCTCCTCATACTAGGATACGATGTTCAGGTGTCATGCTTTCAGTATCTGATGAGTTGCTGCCCATCATGTATAATCATACTTTTGGAATGCTGACATTCCTACCGTACTCATCAGGCGCTACACTTTATTTCGGATAGTGGTGAACGCAATAACATGAGCAAACATGTCTATTTGGAAACTCAGACAATTTCGCCGGAGATGGCCGAGATTTGAAGCAAAAATTCATCCAAGAGATATCGTATCAGACGCAGATTGCCATGGAATTATGCATACGAAAGCTACACAAGTACCTCGACTTTTGTGTGCGGGTCATCATTCATGCGCATGTCACAAACCGACCGAGCTATCTAACTCGAACACTACCATTGGAAGGAAGAAGTCCAAGTGAACAGTTACAGACAGGGAGGCGAAATTCTCATATGCATCTTGTTTACAAAAACCGAATACCCATCCTCTTCCTGAACTTTCCTGTATATTCAGTGACTGTTGCTCAAATGCAAGCAAATGCGACTCCGCAACTTCCGTAATAGCTCTCACTTTTCAAGAGACGCAAAGCGTATTTACGAGAAACATACTACTCCCATGCCCCACCAGTAGTATCCAACTTTACACCATTATCCATGGGTGCATTTCCGCATAGATTGAGTCCCAAACAATGAGAATGTTTTATCAAATAGGTGACATTTGATAAGAACACTTCAGTTGGACATATGCAACGAAATTACTATTTGGCGATAATGAAATATTGTCCGTGTGGTAGGATTGCCTGTTGGTATTTACGCATTCTCTAAGAATGAACCACATAGTTTCTAGACCCAGGTTTTGTATAGTTTCTTAGATTCACCCTTATAGGTTTCTTAATGGCTTCCTGATATGCTGTCTGGTGCACAGCTGTCAAACCTAGAGTTGAATTTCTCAAACAAATGTTTATAACTCTCTGATGGTGTTTACTAAAACTCTGCCATAGTAAATTGTCAGCGCTGCTCATAACTTTTGAGTACAATATATACAACGCTATTAGGCACAGGTACTATGAATTCATTTTAACAGACCGCTTGAAATCAGGCTGTTTTAAATCACTCACATGTGTATCCCAGATAAGACTAACCGACAAATCTTGCGCCAGATGCCGTGAAATAGACACGTAACGTTTACAATCGGACTATTTGTTTAACCGGACCAGATCATTACATAGCTTTATGCAAACACACGTTTGATCGTGTGCGTTTGATGTGCATGTGCGTTCCTCCCCACGCATGATGGAGTCCACACAGGTTGTCATCTCCACTGGACAGCGAGCCGTTTAGATAACGATGTTTGCATTGCTACGATGGATTGATAAGTGTGTTTTTGGACAACTCGACCGACAGAGTGTATGCTGCTCTGCCAACTAGAGGATGAGAGCTGAACTTGTGTATATCATCGTGGACATGTTGTATCTGTGTGGGTGTTCCGCCAGAATACTAAATCTGTCCTTGTATCTGCGCGATAAAAAAAGATCTTCACGAAGCAAAACAATGTGTGCATGATAGTAAAATACACCCGTTTGCAAACAAATTTGGTTTTGCGAGAGAATCGCCTTCGAACCCTCTGAATCTCCCGTTTATGATGTTTTTATATAGTAGTGTATTACATCCATGTGTGTGCATGATGTGCATTCAATGTGTGCTTCACAAATACCTCAGGAATAATCATGAAGAGCATGCACTTTTTTTAGAATGTACATGAAATTTTCGATATTCGCATAAATTCTGCCACTACTACTCACGGTATACTTAAGTAGGTATTTCTTAAGCGCATTGTATGCAGATCATACGGAACTTAGTAATGAAGCCTTTGAGAAGCCTGAGGTCGCACCGGACCTGGAGATGAAAAGGACAAATCAAACGAAATGTGGCTGGATAATAGACAGCCGCAATTCATGCTGTATTTGAGAGTGCAAAAAAATACAATAAGTATTGATAAGTACATTTATCAAAACGGTGAATATGTTTGATTAAAATGAGGCAGAAGCTGCTGTGAACCGACACCGTCTGTCCACATAAATCAGCAATTTATGATAGTTCAGGGGCTGACTAAGGCTTTGAGACCGGTACCCAGAATATAGTATCGATTTTTACAGTTGAAATAACATCTACGGTGCTTGAATCCCCCCACTATCTACCTCATGGAGCTACCGAGCGAACAACAATCAAAACGGAATCCTCAGGAATGTTCTGCTATTTGGTTGGGTTTATTATGGAACAGCTCATAAACCATTGGGAACCCCAAAAAAGGTGTTCGCTCTCCAAGTGCGTATGCTGCCTGTAGAAGGCACACTGAGTTCAGACGTAATACAATACTCATAAAGTTACCGAAAATTCTTCAAAACTCAACGACCGGTTTTTTTCTTCCTTTCGGCTCATCAGGTAGGCACAGTGTCCGAGGTTCCGTCAACTTCACGTTCTATCTGAATCCATATTGCATAAAATTAGACAACTACACTCAGTTGCTTAAAAAATTTGGTTTCCGAAGTAGACAGTCAAAAGGCAGCGAAATTTTCCGTTCAAGTGTAACGTAAGATTGACTAGAACTGGGCAAGTGCGTCTACCTGATGGGTCCAAGAAGAGCTAAACCGGTCATGGGCTGTCGAGTAATTTTGAGTAACCTTATGAGTAGTGTATAACGTCTATAAATGCATCCTGATATCCTAAATATCGTGCCAAAATAAACAGGAGGCGGTCTATATGAAGGACAATCAGTTGAACAAAATTTCATAAACTAGACATTCAGTTGAGTCCCTCGTAAAAATCAAATTGTTTCGCAAGTGAGTGTATTTCTCGGAAACTGTCCCATTCGGGTTCAAGTAGAGAATAAGATTGACGGAAGCTCGGGAACTACGTCTAACTGATAAGCCCTGACTATCGTACCAGTTAAAAAAATCAAGGGGCCAAGTGCAGCACTTTCAGTTCCTCAGAAACAATATAAACGAGATATTCAGCTATGTTCCAGACGAGTCTCCCGCAAAACCATATTTGTTTGCAAATGAGTGCACTTCACTAATACACTTCACAGCATCTGTTGTTACTCCGAGGAAAGAGGCAAGCTTCCAGAGCCCACACTTTGATCGAGGCATAGAAAGAGATCTGACTGTGGAGACCGGATGCTCTCCGTGCCAAAATTCTCGTTGTTCAGTTGACATACGTCGCGACACATGTTCACGTTGCTCATTCTTGTTGGTTGTGTCCAACTACAAGATTCATAAAATAGAAGAAACGTGTAAGGATAAAAAGACACCAGTAGAAAATATGGAACCAAGTATGCAGTGGCGCAGCAATGACTACTGTTAGAACAGAGGCAAATCGTTTGTGAGTCAACAATTGCTTTGGGCGAGTAGGTAACACCATCAAGTCACCTGTTAAACGCAGATTTTGGTCTGGCCTGTGGCTAGCACAAATCGAGAGTCTTGCCGTGACTGCGCCTAGTAAATTAGTATTGTTGTAATACGTGGTTAGTTTGGTTGTTGGTCTGTTCGCCGAGCTTGGCAGTTGGATTGCAAACGTTTCATCACCAATCGAGGTGACATCGTCAGTTCAGGGTTTAGTGGGTGAATTCCTCCTCTTCTGCCTGTGATTATATAGCTTCTAAACAGTATTTGGTAGTTCTGGAGACGGTAGTCGTGTAGTTTGATTGGTCTTCTGTGAATCTCACGTGGTTTCAACCTCCTGTGTCTGGTTGGTTCGTTGGGTACGTTCAATTCGGCAGTTCTGTATGTGGTTGACGTGCTGGGATTCGGTCGTTTCCTTCTTGCTTTATTGGGTGGGTTTTACTCATTTGATTGGCCTTCTGTTTTTCGTGATTTTCTTCCTTTGACCCAATTACTCCGTTGGTTGCCGTTAGGTTTCTTAGCTCCGAGTCCCGTGGCCGTGTGGTTCTTTCGCTCGTAACGGCTGATAGACTGGGTCAATGTCGACGTGTTTATTGATCGATCGACATTGACCCAGTCTATCAGTCCATGTGGTTAGTGTATTTGGCCGAAGTATTCACAGTGACAGCCGTTCGTAGTTGAGTTTAGTTATCACCCCGGGAAACGCACACTTTGTCCATTGTGTGTGCTCTGACATGGGCTAAAAACTCCTACGGGGGCGTAACATTAGTGTTGACCGAATTCTTCTCATTTAAACACTTCGGCCAAGTTCTTTATGACATAAGGAAGTCAAACACGGTGACCAGCAAACATGTAAATACTTTGCGGATGACGGCGGGGAAGAAAAATGTGATGTACGAGGTTCAATGTGAGAATCGTAACCAACACTAATTGGGGCAATCGGGACGGAAGCTGTCAACCAGGTCTCGTGAGCAAAGATCTATTGGAGAACGTTAGAGAAGAAACAGCAGAGTTGAATCTAAAGCCTTGATGGACAAGGCTGGAATATGCCTCCAATCAATAAATAAACGGATCGAAATGAACATCGAAAGGTTCTGAATGAACAAAAAACTCAGGAATCACTTAGCTGAAGGCAGAGAAGCGCAACCAGCAATCAAGCTCAGGGAAATCAAACCACAAGATAACACAAATTTCGGACTGGCCAATCAAAGCGCAGGACGGTAACTTCTAATTCTGGAAGGCACTGGGATGACCAAACAAATCAGAGGAAGACGGACGATAACACAGGACAACCTCCAAACAGACCAATTAGAACAATAATTAGAAATGCAATGCCGTCTATCATATGTGATCTTTCCGACGACCTAATCGAATACAAGGTATACGGACTACCATGCAACCAACCGATGAAGTTAGGATAAAGCTATTCTTCGGCCAGCCAATCACATCAGGAAATATCATTTACTCTCTTGCGAACTGCACAACCACAAGCAGGTGGGTAGGAAGCTCCTCAAAAACCGTGCATGAATGATTCCTTCACGATTGGAGGTAAAAATTTCACAGGCAACTTGTCACGCTCGGTGAACAGACCAACAGTCATCTGATCTACGACTGATTTGATCCTCAGACTACTCAAAGATCGTAACTGGTTGAATCCAGCCCGTTCTTTTCGACTGGTTTTCACGCCGTTTGAGCTCGTGAAAACCGTGGTCCATTTTGTCAGGAGCAGCCGTCCACATTTTAGTAAGATTTATGCTACTGCCGCATTCTCTTGATCCTGTCCAAAACACGTGTTGACACCTTCGAACCGAACTGTCCGATAGCTCATTACTGTCCCCCCCCCAAAAAAAAAACCTAGGAGTTTTAGGTTAAGATACATCGATTGTAATCCCCAGTTTCATGGAGTAAAAAGCAGCGAATTAAGTAAAACACTGTGTTCTCATCTTCTGTGGTTTTGCCAAGGAAAGCATATTGATCAACGAGTGATATACCATTTTATACTAACTGTGTAATAGATACTTTAAAGAAATCAAGCTTCAGTGTGTAACATCTGTAGAAGTCGATTTTTCACCAATCGTTTTGTCGCATGAGGCTGCAAGAAGTTATCACAATTCATTCATACTCTTCGAACAGTACGCAAATCATATAGCAGGTTTGGCCTAGTTGGCTCCTATCGCAAAAGAATGTTACATCCAATGCAAGAGTGCTCACATATTTGTTCTCACAGCTTCCTGAGATTTACCCAAGGCAAGAGCTTGAGTACAACCCTCAAAGAATACTTAGAAAGCGGCCTTTTTAGTGTATGTACTGACCTGGAAAACGTTGTTGCCATCTTGTGTTGGAGTCATGATTACCATGGTTAGGATCATAGTAATACCAACTAATACCATGGCGCATCAACCTACTGCGCAGCGGAACTATCATGTGAAACAGGGCCATGCGAGTACTCCCGCACGTCTGAACTACGTACGATTTCAACATGTGCCGGAGAAAGGTCAAAAAGGGACACAGAAAAGTTCATGCTCACTCGATGGCCAAGGCACCCCGTACACAAGCGCACAGACAGACACATCTATGATCAACCGAGACAAAGGAACAACCGCCCGAGAACCGATGTGGGCGTGTAGAAGAGTGGATCGACTATCAAATACGGTCACAAGTGAATCATATATATAAGTTTGTAATTGCGTTAATACACAGTTCCTTCTGGTCGCCTTCTTGTCTTCTGACTATAACCCAGTAGCGTCAGGGAAGGTGAAGAGATGCAACACCAATCGAATAGATCCTTCCTACTTTTTTTATGGAAAATCAGACGAAAAATATATTAGCAAAATTATGCATGAACCCCGTATTGTCTTCTGAAAACACAACACTCGTTAAGCTCTTCTCCCATCGTCTATTTTGTGCCGTTTTCGCCACATATTACTAATTACCATAAATATTCACGACATACTGCAATTTATTCTGGATACTTGTTAGGTGTTGAACGACAGATACTTTTTACGTTCGTAGCAAAATATTGTTCGCTCCGATAGAAAGGATGATATATGTATGCTGAGGGTAATTTGTTGAATTAGACTTTTCCCGTTCATTGCGCCACTGTCGAAGTAGGTTACCGTAGAACTCAATACTGCATATTGAGTTGTAAGCTACTACTTTCCTTCCAACCACAAACCGAGTCGTTTAAATTAATCTGTTGAACTGTTTTTTTCGGTATTAGATACCATGGGGTTAACTTTCGCGCGACCGCACTTTTCGTACAACGGTCGAATCTCTACGGATTTATCGTAAATGAATCCTGTGAACTTACAAAATGAAAGTAGGTAACTTTCAGACATGTTGTCAGTGGTACACGTACTTTTGCGAAGATGTACTGTACGCATCTAGCTTTCTCTTACAAGCAGCTTTCGCTCCCATTTATCTCCGTCCTTTTGCAAGGTGATGAGGATTGGCAGACAGTATGTTGGCGTATAGCGTACAGGGAACTGACACGAGTACTGGTATTACCAATGTACTTTTCCTAATTACTTAGTGAGGACTGAAATCCGATGTGTTCAGTCGATTGAGGCAGACCCAGTGAAAAACTTTGCGAGATTGTCTGCACCACAGTAAGATCTTCGGTATGTATCATTCATCCGAAATATTTTCACATTTTCAAAGACATCGCAAGATGGATAAGGCATAACTTCTTAATAAATGTTAGAAAAAGCCCAAGTCTTGATTGGGGTCAGTGGTTTACTTCTGGCTGTCCAATTTTGGAAACTATTGTGTTTTTGTTTATTATTGTTTTTCGTTGGATACGTTACGGGCGATAATTGTTGGTCAATAACAGTTGTTTCATAAATTTGTGGAGTCGCGAGGCGTGTGGCTCTAAGGTCAACACGTTCTTCGGGACATCCTTGCGCTTTCAGAATATACTTTGTTGAATCTGCCTGAACGTTCACTTAAGCGGTTCAGAATATACTTTGTTGAATCTGCCTGACCTAGTGCAAATATTTATGCATATATTCTTACAGTATTACATAAATGTAAGTGAAAGTCTGCGTAGTTTGGGCAGGTCTTCTTATTCACATTGTGATATCAACAGTTTCGTTGATGAATAACTTCGACTTGTCGAATTTCGGTTATCAGCTTCAGTTCAATGCCTGTTCCTGGTTTGATAATCAATGATTTACCTGAGAGTGAATGGATTTTATGAGGTTCGTTCACACGTAGACCGAAAATATTTCGCCGAAAATATCTCGCTTTGCCAGATAAAAATCATACGTACATACAACAGTAATATACCACCCAGTTCTCTTGAATACTGAACAGCAAGAGGAGTTGGGATCTTTGTACTGCAGGATTATGAAGAAAATATCATTGGCTGTTCGCTTCACTTTGTTATGAAAATGCGTTAAGAATACTGACCCTGCGCTTGGCGAATAAAAAAATAGATGAAACTAACACTAAACAGTTTAAACAGCATAAAACAAACTACTCACAAGGTTGTTGAAAACTCTTCGACAGCGCACGACCGGTTTCGCCCTTCTTGAGGCTCATCAGGTGGGCGCAGTCCCCGAGTTTCCGTCAACCTTATGATCTACTTGAACCCAAATTGGACTTTTTTCGAGAAATACACTCATCTGCAAATCAATTTGGTTTTCACGGGAGAC